CCCGGCAGAACCTCACACCCCCTCTGGGCTCCGGGCCCCCGCAAAGTACTGCCAGCACAATGGGACCATGTACCAACACGGAGAGATCTTCAGTGCTCACGAGCTGCTCCCGTCCCGCCTGCCCAACCAGTGTGTCCTCTGCAGCTGCACCGTAAGACCTTCCCGCTCCCTTTAGCCCAGGCCAGCACAGACAGGCCTGCAAAGCACAGCGGTGCGGTCTGGGGGGACAGTGTTGCTCCCGATCAAAGCAAAGTGAGAGTGAATGGGCTCCGGGGGAAGGGAACATCTGGGGTTTGGAATGTCCTGCCCGTCTCTGGCCTTCCTCGTCCCCCTGAGCTGCCTGTTACAACATGCTTACCTCGTGTACTCACATTTGCCCATTTCTGGGTTCTCCAGTAGACTCTGCACTCCTCAAATGGAGGGAACATGCCCAATTCATTTTTGTATCTTTTGCTGCCACTGGCCCAGGGCCTGGCACACAGATGTCTATAATGATTGCTGAATGCATAAGAGAAGGAGTGAATGATCAGTCCTGGGGTTCAGAGACAGGGTCAGACAGCTCGTTGCAAACGGATTTAATCTGAAGTCGCTTAAACTCCTCCTGCTGTGGTCAGAGTTGGACCTAGGCACAGGCAGAACTGACCCTGCAGTGTTACCAGGGGACAGAGACTGAAGCCAAGCAGGGCCTGATCTAGAAAGTCTTCACCCTCCTCCTCGGTGGGCTCCAGTGTGGCCCTGCTTTCGGCTGACAGGTGCCTTTCAGCCTGTCATTCTTACCCTGGGGCTTAGTTCATGTGTGCATTGGCAGGAGAAACTCCTGCTCTCCTGATCTCCACACCACCTGCTCATCAAACTTCTCCGGGCCTCCGTTCCTCTCTGCTAATCTGAGTTAGCAGTGACATCAGGGTAAGAGGCCTAGATTAGATGCCAGACACCCATGTTTGAGCCATGCTTCCCTGTGTGACCTTGATCAAGTCACTTCTCTGGGGCCTGCGTCCCCATCTTTTCAGCGAGAGGATCCTATCCGTCTGAGATTCCGAATCTTCAAGTATCTGTGCTGCAGAGCGAATAATTTACAAATAATAAAGAAATCAACATAGCAATTATTTTTTACAGAGCTTGAGCCTCTTCCGGCAGCCTAATCATATTGTACCTGCCGGTTCACAGAGATGCCTTGTATTTATATACAGCACTCCAAAGGCCCTAAGAGCAGGAAATCACTGTTCTTATTTTTCAGATGAGGAAACTGAGGCTCAGATCAGTTAAGCAACTTGCCTAAGGTCACACAGCTAGTTAAATGGCCAAGCCAGAATTCAGAGGCAGGACCACATGACTCCAAAATTCGTGTTTCCTTCTTCCCTGGATTGCACTACTTCCTGTAAAGGGACAAGGGCCCGGATGAGGAGGAGTCTGGGGGGGGAGACAGAAGTGATGGCGTGGCGGTAGGGTGCTGAGAACATTCTTGTGATTCCTTGTCCCGTCTCCTTGGATCCCGGGGTCTCCCCTTCTTTCTCCTCCTCCTTGTTTAAATGGGACTGGCTCGACTCCTGGCCCACTTCTGAGGCTCATGGGAAAAGGCAGAGGGAAAGGACTCGAGGAGATACCACTGTCTGCCAGGTACATCGTGCCTTCTAGTTTAAAAAGGGTTTTTCCAACCACTCCCTCATCTGCTCTTCACAACCCAGATGGGAGTGCTCCCATTTCACAGAGGAGGAAAGTGAGGCGCAGAGAAGAGAAGTGACTCACCAGAGGTCATCTGGCTTCTGATTCCCAGAAGGCCCTTCCCTCTGCAGTGTTGCCTCTCCAGGCTGGTCCAGAAGCTGGGGACCTAGGGTTTTCAGTAAGAGCACGATGAGCCCAACATGTGTCCCATTGATCCCCGTCCTCTCTCTGGGCCCCCTGCCCCAGGTCAGGGGAGGAGGGCGTTCTTCAGCAGGAAGAGCCTGCAGGCTGGGCTCTAGTCCACTCTGCTGGGCTGCGTTTCTGATTTCGGGCAGTTCAGGCCCCCTTCAGGTCCTCCTCATCTGTAGGATGGAAGAACCCCACCTCACCGGTTTGCTGTGAGAGCCTAGGGAGAGACAGGGTCTCAAAACGCTTTAGAAGCTCAAGGATGAATGTTACCTCAGGGCCTGGGGAGGGAGTGGGAAGGGTACAGGGGACTCCTCCTCTGAGCTGGCTGGGCCTTGCCCGGGATGCTCTGCTGCTCCCTTCTTGTCCCACCTCAAGGCCATTTGCCCCCAGGGCAGGGGGCTCTCCTAACCCCAAGGCTGCTCCTCATCGGAGCTCATCTCCCGTTTGCTCTGTCAGGAAGGCCAGATCTACTGTGGTCTCATGACCTGCCCAGAACCAGGCTGCCCCACACCTCTCCCACTGCCTGCATCCTGCTGCCAGGCCTGCAAAGGTGAGTCTGTCCCTAGATCTGGCAGTGCCACTCACCCCACCCCAGGGACCTAGCCAGGGGCTATTAGACGTGGGGGAACCTCAGCCAGTGAAGGGCAAATGGCTTGAGCAGAATCAAGTGCACAGATGGTCAGACTGTACCCTGTGGGTTGGGGTAGTTCAGGAAAGCTTCCTGGAGGAGGCAGGACTGGGGAAGGGAGTGCTTCATAGTAGAATGCTTCTCTAGACGTTGGCATTGTGGAAGGGCACTGGACCGGGGGCCAGGTGACTCCAGTTTAGTCTTGGTTCGTCCAGCTAATTCCTGCAGATTCCTTCCCCTCTTTGGGCCTCAGCTGTGTTTTGTGTGCACTGAGAGGCTGGCCTCGGACTGTCTGATTCCAGCGTCCTTGGTCTTTGAACCAAGAATGCTCGGAGGGAGCCAGACTGTATGTGAGGTGAGGGCTGAAGAGAGAGAATCCCCCTCAGGGCCTTGTGTGCTGGCACCCCATCGGGTGGAAGACAGAGTCCTAGGGTCTTCCAACTGGAAGGACCGAGGTGCCTGAGTGGATAGTATAGACCAAGGCCTGGTGACCTCAAGTGTGGCTGGACAGAGTGGCTCCCCAGGGGGCTGCAACTAAGCAAGGCTGCAGGGATGGGATGCTGGGCCTTTGGGCATCCATGATGGGCACTGAATAAGATGCTCCAGCCCAGCCAAGAAGTTCAGTCCTAACGGTGACCATGAGGTCAGTGTGGGGAAACTGAGGCAGCAACCCAGTTGTAGGGAATTTGTCAACCCAAGGGTAAGGACAGGTTGTAATGGGAAGTGGGAATAAGGCGCCACTGGGGCAGAGGGACCTGCTGGTGTGCAGGGACTGCAGAAGTGGCACTAGGCCTGGGAGGCTGAAGGCCTGCAGGGCTCCAGTCAGCAAGGCTGAGGAGATGGAGGCTGACCCAACTTCCCTTTGGGTTTCCAGACGGGTCAAGTGAGAGATCAGCCGAAGAGGACACCACGCAGTCACAGCCTGGGCTGGTGAGTGCACAGCTTTACTGACAGGGTGCGGAGAGGTGGTGAGGGCAGCTGGTAGCCACGGCCTCGAGCCCCGGACTCTGGGGCAGTCAGTACCAGTTACTGTCCTCACTTCTCATATGTCCCCTAGGTCGGCAACACGAGTTCCACCCTGTTCCAGCCCCTTTCTTTCCCTAGCCTCATGGCTGCTGGGTCCACAGGGGTCTGGGAAAAAGTACCATGCCATACAAGAGCAGGCCCCAAACTTCCCCATTTCCCTCCTGAGAAACACTGTCACGCTGTTCTCTCCAAAGACTGTGTCTGTCCTTAGTTCAGGCTGCCTCTGGGCAGCACATTCCCCTCCGAGGGAATGGCCTCTGTCTTGGCCCAGCCGTCCCCACCCAGCCCCTGAGGTACTGGTTCTTTGTTTGGGGGCTACCTCTCTGTCCTCCCCTCTGTCTTGGCCCCTCTCCATCTTAGTCTGGACTTAGGATGAGCTAAACTGTCCAGCTTTCTCTGGTCAGAGAGGAAAGAGGTAGGAGGATGGGCTTACACACTGACTCAAGTCCCCATCCCCACTCTGTGCTACGTCTACAATGGGAACAACTCCACCTCCTCTTTCAGCCTGGGTCACCTGGGCCCCGGGGGACTGGAGGCTGGCTGGCCTCCCGTGCTCAGGGACTCCCCAGGGGTCTGAACTAGCAAGCTCCCCCTTTTCCTCTGCCATTTCATCCTCTCCCTAGGAGGCAGTGTGCTAAGCGAAGCTCACCCAGGCTCAGTTCCAGGCCCTGAGCAGCTACTTACTGGATGACGTGAGCAAGTCCCATTAAAGGGTTGGGCTCCTCGATTCCAACTTGCCGCTATTCCACTTGACAGGCATTTCCTGGGAGCCTCCTATGTACCTGGGCCTCTTCTGGGGCCTGAGATAGTTTCCTGGGTGCTCTTGTGGGGTCAGTCTGGCCAGTCTCTGACTCAGACACTATCTGAGCAGGAAGGGGCTGTAGGAGAAGGAATATGAGTGACTCGGTATCAGCGAGGGGGGTAATAAGCCCACTTGTTCCTCTGCCATGGCCTGGAGCTGCCCGGTCCTCCAACTATAAGCTATGATGCCCCTGCCCGATTATACCACCCTCACCACAGACCCTTTTCTATCACTGCCAGTCTGCCCAAGGCCTGGTCTAGAGGGGCAGGGTCTCAGGATCTTGGATTCCAGGGGTTCCAGAAAGGGGGCTCTGGAGACCCAGGGTGTCCAGATGGGGCCTGCTCTTAGTCTTCCGCCCTGTGAAGATTCTGGGGCCTGGTGAGACCTTCAGAGGCCCATCCTCTTCTCCCATCACCTAAATCTCCTGACTCTCATCCTTACCACAGCCTCACCTTCCATTTCTTAAATAGGAAGTTTCCTAGGTCCCTGATCACTGTGTCTCCCAGATCAAGACCTCAGTACCTTTGTTCACTCCAGCCCCGAGGCCCTGGCTCTGATGGGCCTGAGAAGGGCTTGGTGGAGGCAGGATTTCCAAACCACCGTTCTGAGAGTTTTCAAAGATCCATTGTCTGAGAACGTCTTAGGCCGCATCCAGATCTTTCCATCCCTGACATGTGCCTCTCTTTACTGGGAAGTCCTGGTGGTGTCTAGCTGCAGGCCTCACTGCAGCCCCTGTCTTGCGGCTCCCCTGCTGGTACTGGCCCATCAGTGATCCCCATCCTTCCTGCCATTTGCAGAGACGTTCCCAGGATCCGTGTTCAGGGGACAGTGGGAGAAAGAGAGGCCTGGGCACCCCAGCCCCCACTGGCCTCAGCTCTCCTCTGGGCTTCATCCCTCGCCACTTCCGACCGAAGGGGGCAGGCAGCACGACAGTCAAGATTGTCCTGAAGGAGAAACATAAGAAAGGTGGGGATGGGAAACCCCTCTGATACCTGAGGTGGGAAAAGGGGGCCCCCGACTGCCCCCGCCTCCCATCCCTGCACCCCCCACTCAGTGCCCTGACCTCAACTTGGCCAGGAGCTTGTAGATTCATAAAGCATCAAAACTGAAGGTGTCCTGAAAGGGCACCGAGGTTCAGAGCACCGAGTGAGACAGAACCAGCCCTAGACCAAGACCATGGGGCAGCATGACAATATTGTCTGAGCCTCTGCCATGTCTTTGCTGGGAATCGAGGGGCACAGAACAGAAAGATGAAAAATGGTCCCTGTCCTCTAGGGGCTCCAGACATGTAAATAAATACTACGATAGAAGGAAGGGTGAGAGAAAGTTGTGGACAAAGGAAGGAGGGAGCAGAGGAGGCTTCGGGCAGGTGGTCAGAATGCAGCAGGGAAGGAGCAGGGGAAGGGGAGGAAAGCAGGCTCCGTGCAGGACTCCCACTGGTGTGGCAGGCACAGCTGGGGAGGTACCTGCTGCGGCCCCTTTGGGACAGATGGAACACTGAGGCTAAGAAAGGGGAAGGGACCTGCCCGAGCTCACACCGCCAGAGGTATGAACTGGGTCTCAGTGCTCCCCCTGCCAGAGGTGCCTGTGAAGGGCAGGGGGAGGACTCTCCATCTTCAGCAAGAACGTACTGGGCACGGGTCAGCCCTGAGTGCTGAAACGGGAGAAGTCAGGGACAGGGGACCAGTTTTATACCCGGCCTCCACTTTGCAGGCCGTGTGGCTGGGCCAGACCGCTGGAGCAGGGCCTCCCCGAGTTCCCGCCCCCACCCATTCCTGGACTCTGGCCCAGGTCTGCAGCACTGACCCTCCTCCCTTCCCGCCCTCCTTGGCCCAGCCTGCGTGCACAATGGGAAGACGTACTCCCATGGGGAGGTGTGGCACCCAGCTTTCCGCTCCTTTGGACCCCTGCCCTGCATCTTGTGCACCTGTCAGGACGGCCGCCAGGACTGCCAGCGGGTGACCTGCCCCACTGAGTACCCCTGCCATCGCCCTGAGAAAGTGGCCGGGAAGTGCTGCAAGATTTGCCCAGGTACGAAGAGGATGCTGGGGGCTGGGAGGGCACTGGCCACAGTGGGCCCAGGGTCCCTCTCCCCAGGGCAACAGGTACTTGGAACATCTCCGACACGGATGGGGCATGGACTCAGAGCCACAGGCTGCAGGAGTTTTAGATGCACTGGAGTGGAAAATGCCCGGCTCACAAAATATTTGCCTTAGAGAACATCTAAGGCTCTAGTGGGTCGATTCAGAGACTCTCGCACATATACACAGAATCAATCAAATAATGTTCCGGATTCTCTGAAACCATAAGATCGTGGGATATTAGGACTTTGGGGAGGGGGGAAGAGCCAATATTTATTGAGCACTTACCATGTGCCACGTAGGTATTTTGCATGCATGAATTCACGGACTCCTCACAACACACAGACAGGGCAGGACTATTTTTCTCCATTTCACAGACCAAGAGAAGATAAGTACCTTGTCCAAGGTCACACAGCTCGAATAGCAGCTGGAGTCTGAGCCCCGGACTGTCTTGCTCCACAGACAGTGCTCTTGACCACTGCTGTCGTCCTTCAACCCTCACGTACCTGTGGGAAAAGAGAAGGGATTTTCCTAAGTCCCACAGCAAAGTGGCGGGGGAACTGGAGTTAGAACGCAGGCTTCCAGACTAGCCAGCTGAGTTCTTCCAGCACTGTTGTGTGAGCCTAGGATTAGTGAGCGTGCAGAAGCAAACATCAGAGTATTTCGTGGGAAGAACAGCCTGTGGTTGTCAGCAGGAGCTGTCGTGAGGAGCAGGCCCCTTCCCTCAAGGCTGAGCAGGTGGGGTAGAAGGCGCGGGCTGATTAGCCAGCCGGCTCGGCAAAACCAAAGGGAGAGGAATAAGGAAGAAAAAAGGGGAAGGAAACATGCACCGAGAACCTTCTAGTGCCAGGTACTTTACTGTGATTTCACATAGTTCACGTACTCCTCACCTCTCAGATAGCTTACACATGAAATGACAGAGTGGTTGCAATCATCCTAAGTCTCCACCTACCCCAGGCTTTAACATCAGGAAGGGTGCATCCACTTTAGCTCGCTTACCAACTGACTTCCTAACTTACTCTTATGAGCTTAGACAAGTGATTTTCCTTTCTCGAGCCTCAGACAGAGTTGAGGGAAAATGTTTCATAAATTGTAAATCAAAATCCAAACATAAGGGATAGGGTCGGAGTAATATGCTACTGGGAAAGGGTCAGAGAGGGAGCATGACGGGGAGGTACCAGAAACACATGAGCGGTAGGGGTTCACCTTGAAGTCTCTGGAGCCTGGCTGTAGCTCACTACTAGGCTCCTTCACAAACACAGACCTCCGTCCATTTTCCCTTAAAAATATTGAGACTGTAGCCTTACAACTCTTAGCGGGACATCTCAAAGGACTTCATAACTAGTAAGAGTTTCGAAGGAAGTGTGTATGTGTAGGGACTTAGTCCTTCAGTCCCTGAAAAATAGGGAATGTTGGTACGTGGAAAATTCTGGAGAATGTCCTTGGAATTCCAGCATGTTGAGGCTTTAGGACTGGATCCAATTTGGGACCAAAACCCATCACCACTATCACCATCATCCCCCCACACAACCCAGCGCACTACTACAGTGGGATCATCATCCCCTCCACCACCTCTCCCACCATCAACAACCATGATCTTCATTGTCGCCATGATCACCTCACTCCTCCCACAACTTTCATTCTGTGTATGTTCATGAGAGCCTGTGCTTGGTGGTGTGGATGACTCAAAAGACAGCCTGTCCTTCACCCGTAGGTCGCTTGTAAGAGGAAAACATACCCGAGGGAGACAATTACAAGGCAATGCAAGGTAGTGAGACCAAGGGCACGAGTGGGAGGCATAAGCAAGAAGGGTTTTAAAGGCTGTGAGTGGGAAGAAGCAGGGTAAGCTACGCTGTTCCAAGTGGGCTGCCTGGAGGAGGTGGAAGAGGAGTGGGGTGCAAAAGGATGAGAAGTTTTCTGATATGCTGATCAGTGGGAGGTGAATGGGAGAGGCGGCCCCTCTCTCTGGTACCAGGGCACCAGAACTTTCCCAAGGACCTTAAAGACCTGAGGGGGAAGTCAGACTAGCGGCCTGGCTCCCTGGGCCTACCAGGCAGGGGTGGGGGTGGGGGTCAGAGTGTTCACGAGCTCCTTGTCTTCCCCAGAGGACAAGGCAGACCCTGGCCCCAGTAACATCAGGGCCACCAGGTGTCCGAAGGTGCCAGGCCGGGTCTTCGTCCACACGTCAGTAGCTCCAAGCCCAGACAACCTACATCGCTTTGCCCTGGAGCATGAGGCCTCTGAGCAGGTGGAGGTCTACCTCTGGAAGCTGGTAAAAGGTGAGCATTGGCCTACTCCCAGCCGGGCTTACCTCTGGCCTGTCCCCCTTACCAGGGGCCTTAGGGGCATTTTGTGGATCAAAGGCCTCTAGCCCAGGAAGACCTGCCTCTGGCTACCCTTCTAGATTTAAGTCTCCAATTCCAAGATAGAGGGAGACAGAAATTCTGTCTGTGATTCTCTGACAGTTCTGATAAGCTCATCCACGGGGTGACGCCAGGGCCTCGAAGTGCTCCCTCTCCTGGGAGGAAGGGGTTGTTGCACTTGCGAGGAGCCAGGAAGGGTAATGCCTATGCAAAAGCGTATTTTGAAGCAAAAGGCATTTTGAGGCAAAAGGCACGTCTACTGGTAGAACGTCAGCACGCTATGAGGGGAGAGCTTCTCAGGCAGAAGGGCCTTCACGGCATCCTCAAAGCAGGAGGGCCTGGAGACTAGTCTCATTCAGCCTTTTCTGTGTGGTGGATTCTATCCCTCCAATAAGTGGACGTCAGAACATAGTTCTCATTCTGTGCGAAACTCACCAGATGCAACAGGATGCTCAGATCACCAGCTGAAGGTCAAGAGGAGTTGTCATTGAGAAGGGAATTGCTGAGAGTTGGGCTTTTTGGCTCTTCTTGCCTAACATAGATCCCCGGGGTAGAGTAAAACAAACTAAACCCTTTAAGTGTGAATTAGCTGTGAGGTCACTGTTCTCTCCCGATGGGTCTGGCTGGAGTGGGCAGGGGTGGAAGAGGGGATGGTCATGATAATGATAACCAGCGTGTGGAGCACTTTAGAGTTTACAAAGTGCTTCACACTCATTATCTCATTTGATTCTCAACGATCCTGAGAGTTAGGTATTATTATCCCCATTTTACAGATGAGGAAACTGAGGCTCAGAGAGGTGAAGTACCTGGCCCAAGGCCACACAGCCAGTAAGTGGAGGACGGGAGCTAGAGCCCATGTCTTGTGACGTCAGATGCGGCTCTTTCTCTGCTCTACTCTGCCTCCTGTCCTAGGAGGAATGGACGAAGAAAGCGGAGCCGTTCAGCCTGGAGAAGAGAAGACTCAGGGGGACAGGACCATTGGCTTCCTGGCTCTGAAGGACTGCCCCAGGCAGGGGGAGCGGTTGTGTTCTGAGTGACTACAAGGGTCAAAACGACAAGCAGGGGCTTTGAGAATCAGACAGACCTGAGTTTGAATCCCGGCTCTGCTCTTTCTTAGCTGTGTGGCCTTGGGCAATCACTTGACCTCTCTGGGCCTCAATTTTGTCTTCTGTTAATTGGGAAGGAGGGTTTGGGGAGGATTAAATGAAATAACATGGGTACAGCCCTGACCTACAGTAGGTGCTAACATTAGTATCTTCATCCCACCTCCTCAGTTAGAATTACAGAGAAGCATGCTTCCACCAACGAGAGAAAGCACTTTCTCATACCTAGACGACCCTTTCTGTCAAAGAAGCAGGGAGCAAGCTCAGTTCACAGGGATGTGCAAGCAGCGACTGGGCGGGGGCTCTGCCACAGCCGAGGAGTTAGATTCAGCAGCCCTCATCATTGTTTTGTGCCTGGACAGGTGCTGGTTTCCTCCAGACCCCCCACCAACCTCACCAGGTACTGGGACCACAGAGAGTAATAGGTCCCAGTCTCTGTCCGTGGGAGCCCAGGACTTAGTGACTTGGATGCAGTAGGAGCTCCCGGGGAGCTGAGCTGGTCAGGCTGGAAGGCTTCGTGGAGGAGGGGCCTGCGGCTGGACAGGCGTTAGGAAGGCAAGAGGAGCGCTTTGCAGGCAAGGAAGGGTGACAGCGACAGCCTCAGACCGGCCCCGGAGCCTCTGCTTCCATGCCCTGTGCTCCGCCCCGTGACTGGTGTGTAGTAGCCCCTGCTAAAGTGTTTCATTTCATCCGCAGGAGAAACCTGAGGGATGTGCATTCATGCACCATCTTGCAGATAAAACTGAGTCTGAGGGGTAAAACGCCTTGCTCAAAGTCACACAGTTCAAGCACTCAAGCAAAGATTCAAACCCAGGTCTGAGTCTCCCCAGAGCTGCTTCCACGGAGGCGACCTAATGCTTTCAGAGAGGTGCCTGAGCAAGGCCAAGGTGTGCCCAGGATGGCGCAGACTGGAGCGCTGTAGCTCAAGGCCAATCTCAATACCACCAGGCCCAGCAGAAAAGGAGCAGGTGGTGGGGACTCCTCAACTTCACGGTGCCAGGCCCTACCTTCCTGTCACTGGCAAAAACCCCCTCCCCATCTCCTGCCCCGCTGGGCTGCCTAAGTGCCTCCCTGCCCCACACCATGGGGGTCAAAGCAAACACTCCCGAGCTCGGACTGTCAGTGGGAAACCCTCTTTCTTCACCCAGAGGAGCGGAATCAGCGGGCCTCGGGGGCAGGGAGAGGAAGGGGAGAACTGGCCTGGAGACACCGACACCCGGACTCGGGCCCCAGAAGCTGGCTTCCTGTTAAGAGCCTTTTCGATTCTGGAGTTTCAGAGTGGAAGGGACCTCAGGGGTCCTGATTCCAGCCCCTGTCTAGGAAGGAAACCCCTTACGGCCTCCCGGATGGTCTCCTGGATGGTCTCCAGCCCCTGACTCCGCATGCCCCCACCCCACCTCCACTGTGGATGGCTCCACCTAGAAAGGGTTTGTTTTCGCATTGAGCTGAGCCTCACCTGCTGGTACTGTCTCTGCCCTGGGGGTTCACAGAGCCCAGCTGCCCTCAGACCTGGCACACCCTCCAAAGGCATGGCCATGCTCCTCAGGCTGGCTCTTGATTCCAGGTCCAAGAGCTCAGTTCTTAGGATCATGCTTTACAGGCTACAGTGTGAAGACCCTCCCTCGTCCCTGTCACCTCCTCTCCATTTGCATTCTGGGGTGTGTGCAGTGGCAGGCCTGGGCAGAAGGACTTATTGCCATCTCAGGCTTGTGATGTAGCCTGGGCCTTTGGAGCGAGTCTCTCCCATATCCTGGTCCTTGGCATCTGGACTGGGGGTCCTGAGAACGATGCTGGACATTCCCAGCCTCCTGGATCTTAGTGCTGACCGTTCTCCTCAGTGGCCTCCTACTCAGATTTCCGTAAGCAAGGCCAATTCTTCGTCTTCTTGGGAGCTGTGCTGGGTGGCAGAGGCCTTGCCGTCACACCTGTTCTTTCTGGCTACAGACCCGGGCGGTCACAGCTGGTGCAACTTCACAGCCCGTGTGCTCGGGGTTTCAGTGCCTTGTGTGGTACCCGGGGCCAGCTCCCCATGGGACGCAAACATCAGGAGATCCAGCTAATGCCTCATTCCCTTTAGGGCCCGGGCTAGATTGGGTACACATATGTTTCCTTACCCATCCATTCATCGAGGGATCATTCACTCGTTTGTTCATTCGTTCACTTATCCTAAATGACTAATGTGGGCCAGGCGCAGGGGAACCGGAGAGGAAAAGCCCTGCAGAAGTAACCAGGGGAGGCAAGAACAGACACAATGATAGCACAATGGAAATAGGTATAATCATCAACAGCAGCTAAGAGCTTCTGGGTGCCCCAAGGAGGGGAGATCAAGGAAGACTTCCCAGCCAAAGCCTGGAGGATGAGTAGGAGTCTCTGGAGGCAACAGGAGAAACAGAAGTCAGTAGGAGAAGGAGTTGCAGCAGAGGGGTGCCCTATGTAAAGGCTTGGGCCCCTCGGGGGACTTTAAAGTGGTCGGTTAGGGCTGGAGCACAGGAAGGCCGCCCAGGGGCTGGGTGAACAGAGCCTCGCACTGAAAAGGGGCCTACCACTCTGACACTTGATGTTCTTGGGAGTCCGATAAGCACACCTATTGATTTTTATCACACGTCCTATGCCCAGAAAAAAGCATGACCAGTCCATATGGGCTTCCCCCCTCCCCCCGACCCCACACTGTGGACAGGTGAGTAGTGTGAGAGCAGGATGCTGAGGGTGACAGCTGGAGGGTCAGCAGAGAGGTGATGAGAGGTCAGGGAAAGGGAAGGACAGCTGAGGTATGGTTTCGAATGACTGCAGTTAGGATCACAGATTGCAGGGGGAGTATGAGGGGTCAGAAGTCTAGTGTAGTGACCCAGGCAAGATGTGATGGGGCCTGAATGGGGAGATTGGCTGTGGAGATGGGAGGGTAGGCTCAAAATACTGAGGAAATCTAGTCCACAGGGTTTGGTGTCTGGTCGGAACAGGGGAGGGGAGGGGTGACTGGGTCCGGGCTGTGTCTAAGTTACCCAGTTCCACTTACTGCATGGCCCCACCTTTTCCTGCTCATGCCCTTGCCTCTGCCCTCAGGAATCTTCCACTTGATTCAGATCAAGAAAGTCAGGAAGCAAGACTTCCAGAAAGAGGCACAGAACTTCCGGCTCCTCACCGGCACCCATGAAGGTGGGATGTTAGGCCGAGCAGGGGGGCCTGGGAAGAGAGCCAGGCCAGAGGCCAGGGGCCTCTTGGGGAGCTCCCGGCCGCTGGTGCTGGGAGGGGGGCGGGGTGGTTGTCAGCCACAGACGGGCAGTTCCCGGCACAGGAATCCAGTGGGCGTCGGGGCCAGAGATTTCTCAACTCAGGGCGCCTGGGAGCGGGAAGGTGAAGCAGAACCATCTGGATTTGGTCCTGCGAGTGGAGGAGAGAGGGCTGTGGAGGAGGGAAGCCTGAGCCCCCAAACCGTGACATTGCCTACCCCCTCTCTATGGGAATATTTCCTACTGAAAACTTCCTAAGCACTTTCCTTCTGATGCCCCTTGATTTTCCCTACACTATACTGAGGAAGATGGACCCAGGTGGGGCTTGGGGTAGGGGGGTGGGAGGGGGAGAGGAAGTCACAGATGGGCGTGTCACCAAGAGGTGACACCTCCAAATGCTGGTTGGTTGAAGGTGGGGGTCACGGGCCAAGAACTGATCGGGATAGGGTTTTGTGATGGAAATACCCATCTCCTTCCTCCTGTGGACTCCAAACCCAGGCTCTCACCACCCTTCTTGTCCTAAGTTTTTCCCACCCCAGTCACTCTGCTTCTCTTGGGCACATGCATGCACACACGCACACCCCACAGCCGACCCCCACCCCCACACCCCTCTTCTGCTTTCCTCTATCCAGGTCACTGGAACGTTTTCCTAGCCCAGACCCCAGAGCTGAAGGTCACAGCCAGTCCAGACAAAGCAACCAAGACCTTATAACAAAGACCTAAACAGCTGCAGATACGAGCTTTGTTGTTTTTGTTGTTATATATTAATAAATGATAAGTTGCATTACCCCTCAACCCTGCCTGCTGAGTTCATGTCCAGTCTGCGTGTGTTCCCACAGGGACTGCAAGGCAGGCCTGGTTATGTCCATTTTACGGGGTTAGAGACAGATGCGGCAGGGGTAGAAGCTGGCCCCTGTCCTCGGGGCAAATTGTCCCCCCAGCCTCTCTGCCCAGGCCTTGTCTGCCTCCGGGGCCTCTCCCGGCTCTGCACTGCCTCCGTCCCTGGCCCCCAGCTATGGTTCCTCCTGCTGTTATGGGCGCCCCCCTTTCTGGAGCTCACTGGCCCTGAGCCTAGGGAAGGGACTGACTCCAGGTAGCCAGTGGAGGGGGAAAGGGAGCCTCGAGGCACTTTCCCCAGCGAATCTTCCAGGGATCCTTAGAGTTGTCAGCCACGCTCCGCGATGAGGAAACTGAATTTCAGGAGGAGCGGTAATTTTCACGGAGCCTCGGGGCAGGGCAGTAGCAAAGGCCAAGCCAGTGCCCGGTCTCCTGCTCCAGGCTCGCACTCCTCCCCCCGTCTGCGTCACGGACGGTATAAGCACCACAGTCTGGGAAGAGAGCCTAACAGTTATAATTCAAGACAACATCAATAATTTCTCCTGCCTACACGTACGATTACTTGCAATTTCAAAGATGTTTTAAATGCTCGCGATTGCACTTAAGATGAACAGCGTAGGAATTACCCCGCTTTTAGAGAAGAGGAAACAGAGGATCAGGATGGGCCAATGTCTTCCCCAAAGCCTCACAGTGACAGCGAGGGAGGTCAGGACTAGAACTCAGGCCCGTCGCCTCCCAGACCCGTGCTTCCCCTCCAGCACAGCACCGCCCTCCACCCCCAAGCTGGACTGGAAGCTGCGGAGGGGCGGTGTAAGATGGCCTAAGGGCTGGAGTTCTGCCACCTGCAGCCACTTAGAGGGCTCTGACTATTGTCCCCTGAGCCTCGGTCTCTGTACCCGGGTGTCTGACGTCTGGGAAGTCTGCGAAGCTGCCTATCAGTGCTGCCCTCCCGGGGCAGGGACGAATGCCACTAACTCCCTCCGCCAGCTCCCAGGGGCCTGGTTTGAGAGGCTGGGGTTTGAGGAACATGGCTGGAATCTCCCCCTCCTCCCCTGCGACAGCAGGGCCGTGGGGAGCACAGGCCTGCCCAGACGGAGGACACTTTAGCTGGCTCTGAAGGACGAGGAGGATTAGAGGAAAAGGCGGAGGGACGGGGGGAAGGGGGTCGGAGATGCCACAAGAAGAGATGGTACCTGGGAGATGGAAAAGAGCATGTTCTAGGGGGAGTCACACACGGCTCACTGTTGCTGGACAGTGTAATTTGAGGCAAAGAGCGAAGGGAGGTGAGGCTGAACGCCCAGCTGAGAAGCTCTGGCCTCATCCTGAGGGCAGCCGGGAGCCCTGGAAGGGTTTCAGTGCTTTGGTCAGATCTGCGGGTTAGCAAGCCGGCTCTGCCTGCTGGGTGAAGAACGGCATGGCGGCGTGGGACAATGGCCGGGGCAGGGGAGAGGCGATGGGCCCAGAAGGGAAGGCAGCACCGACGACGGACTGGACACAGGGCTGAGAGAAAGCGAGGAGGGTAGTGCGCGGTGTCTCATGTGCTGACTGCGGAGAGAACCCAGAAGTTTCAACTGAGCACACGTTGAGTCTCAGGAGATACCCCTGGCTCTTGGGGTACATTGTGGGTCTGGGGAGAAGGTCGGGCCAGAGACAGGGGAGTCTGGGGGGGGCTGTTGGCCTACAGGTGGTAACTGAAGCCAGGAGTTGGGTGGCACTGGCCTGGAAGAGTCTGTAGAGTGAACCCCAGAGCCTCAGTAAAGGAATCCCCACGGAGGCAAGAGAGAAGCCAGGAGGGTGTGGTGGCTGAGAGTCCAGTAACACAGGGCCTGGGAAGGGTCCCCCCCAGGGACCAGGAGGCTTCTGGTGCTTGTGGCAAAGGTCACTGTCAGGAGAATGAGGAGGCGGGAAGAGGTTTTGGGGGGCTGAGGCGGTGTCAGGGAGGTGAGGAAACAGACAGGTCTTTGAAGAACTTCGGTGGTAAAGGAGAGGGGAGAGGCAGGCAGTGGCTGGCGGTGGACATGCATGGAAGAAGAGGGTTTTTCAGACGGGAGAGATGTAAGCAAGTCTTGGTAATGAGGCGACCTCACAGGACAGGGAAAGTAGAAGAAGAGGAGTGAGGATGGAAGAGGGGAGGTTTAAGGACAAGTTAAAATCCATTCTTCTTCAGCCACCCTGCTGGTCTCCCCAGGAGTGTGATGAGGGAGAAGGAGGGGGTGGTCTCCCAGGGCTGCGCAGCTCTTCCACTCCCAGGGCTCCCCGAGACTCCAGCAGGGAGTCCTACTTGGTGACCAGGAGGCACAGGCTGGGCTCTGGAAGAAACAGGGCATCCCCTCCCACAGGCTGGCCATTAGTTAACAAGGCACGTATCTGATCCCTAGGATAACATGTCGAGGTGTGAGGTGGGGATTGGCAACCACATTAAGAAATGAGGAAACTGAGGCACCGGGAGAGGAAGTGACCTAATCAAGATCACACACTGGTAATTGGAGGGGTTAGATTCTAGCTAAGGTCTGCAATTCTATACCCCGATGGGTCCTAGAACACTGAAGGGGCCAGGTCCTGCGGTGGGGCAGGTGCAACCAACCTAGGCTCAGAGCCTCCACCTTCCCATGTAGCTTCCTGGCATCCAAACCTGATCTTCCTATTATGACGCCAAGCCTGCCCTCCAGGTTTCCTGGGGAGGCTTCTTCCTCCCCCAGTAGCTCTGAAGCCACCTCCCCCTGTCCCTCCACGAACCCTGGGCTCTGGGAAATTCAGTATTTCTGAGAAACAGGACGTGGCCTGTGGTTTGGGGCTGTCCTGGGGGTAAGGGAAGGCCTGGGGCCCCACCAGGCACAATGGCATCTCTCTGCAGGGCAGGCCCAGCCACCCCCCTTCCCCGCACCCTGGTCCCTGGAAGACAGCCTGCCTGCCTTCCCCTGCTGCAAGGCCAGTTCATGGAAGAGGAACGGGAGGTGCTGCAGGAAGCTGACTGATGTTGGAAGGGGGTGGGGTGGCATGCGTTTCTGTGGACAGGGAGCTATCTCAGACCTTCTAGAGTGGGAATTAGGACCTGGATCTCTGCCCCAGCTCAAGGCTGCTTGAATGACCATAGTACATCTGATGTCTCTCCCCAGTCCTACCTTTTCACCTCTGACACAAAACAGAGCCACAAGATTTGCCCAAGGTCCAATGTGGCCTAGAGTTGGCCCTTACAGAGCCCGCAGGGTCTGACTTCCATGTCCACACCCTCTCTTGCCCTCTGATGTCGGGGCTGGAGGTGAGATCAGCCTTCTCACCAGCTCCTCTGCTGCCACCCCTGCCCCCTGCCACTCCCTTCCCAGCGAGTCTTGCCTGCCGTCCCAGAGTGATCTTCCAGAAATGCCAATCTTACCCTGTTTCCCTCATTAAGGCCCTTCTTCGATGCCTTCCCTCTTGGCCCCTCAGGATCTGCTGCCTCTTTGGCCCCAACTCCCCATCATCTCTCCCAGCAGCACTCTGGGATCCAGTTTGCTGCTCTACCTGACCAAGCTGGGATGGACCTGAGCTCCAGGAAGACCTGGACCACAGGCTCTGACCCCATCAGGACATTCTCTGTTGCGCCCTGCACGCCAGTCTGTTCTTCCCAACCAACTCTTTCAGTTCTCAACTGCTCGGGCTCCTAACAGCTCTCAATCAGACAGGGGAAAAAGGAGCTGCCCTTCCAATGCCCATAGAAAGATTCTGGGGAATGAATCTGGTTGGTCTCTCTTGGATACATAATCCATCTTAGGTGATCAGGGATGAGGTATTAGAATCATGATTGGAGTGGGAGGAGCAGTTTCCTCAAATAAGGAGGTGGGCAGCACACAAATGGTCAGTAAAGGGATCCCCATTCCTAGCTACAATCACTACAACTTCAGACCACTCCTGAAACCAGTGTCCTCTCCTCCACACCTTAAAGATGCTGTTCCCTCTTTCTGGAATGTCTTTCCCTGGTCTCTTCCTGTAGTACTCCAGCTTATGCTCCAAGTCCTCCTCAGAAAAAGCCCTCCCAGGGCCTCCCTCCTGCCCCAGCATTATATGATCTTCTGTAACCAAACACATGCTTTTGGATTGCAATGATCTGTTCCTGAGCCTTTCTCCCACTGGTCGGTAAGCTTCTTGGGCCAGAGACCATATAGCGGTCATCTTTGCATTCTCAGCCCCTCATCCACAGGAGGCATTCACTGCATGCTTGTTGAAGAAGGACATGAGGGAAGGAGGAACGACATTGATGGTGAAGACAACAGTGTGAGACATGGTTGACTGCCGACATAGAGTAGATGTTCAGTAAGTGGTTACTGAGCCTTGAATGATCACTGCTACTCCTCTCCCCACCATTACCACTACCATTCTCCACTACCGGGACCACCCCTCATATTGCAGGGTCCCGGATGGAAAACAAATGGAGACTGCACATCATATCCTAAATATTTAAGTTTTAAATCAAACTAACAAACTATTAAATAAATATGTTCTATCTTCCTACCTTGGAAATATACCTTCTTAATGACTTAGAAGGCTAAGTTCAAACTTAAAATTTTCTGACTTCTTCTTTGCCAGAACATGGAAACACACAGAGAACTAACCTCTGGCTCCTGACTTCCTGCTCTCAATCCACCTCTCTTCTCATTTCAGCTCCGTCCTAGAGTGTGAAAGGCCTCGTACACACATAAGTAGACACCCCAGTTTGCATGTCTTTGGTGGTTTTAGAACACATCCAGAATGGCAACGCCTGGGTGGCTCAGTTGGTTAAGCATCTGCCTTTGGCTCAGGTCATGATCCCAGGGTCCAGGGATCAAGCCCCACATTGGGCTCCTTGCTCAGCAGAGAGCCTGCTTCTCCCTCTGCCTGCCGCTCCCCCCTGTTTAATGAGATACTTGCCCTTGGCATCTGGAACCAGTATGTAAGAAGGCTAAGTAACTCTGAGGTCGCCATGCTGTAAGGAAGCCCAAGAA